AACTAATAAATTAAGTTTAAAAATCTTAAAATATATATAATCTCAATGTTATTTAAAAATTAATTTAATTATAAACTACATTGGCGCAATTAGGTGTCCTAATGTTAAATATTTATTAATTCCCTAATACATATCAGAATTGAATTGAAATTGCTGTAGAACAGTTCAGTCTTTCTATTAATTTCTTGAATATTAAGAAAAATATTTCTTTTTTTGGCATTATGTAGTTCTTAATCAAATGACGATTTGCTTTCAAAATCACATTTATATATTTTAATCTAAGCTATTCAACACGATTATTATTACCTCCCCACATACCGGTTTGATTACCGGTACCAGTTGTCCACTGACCAGCTGCAGAATTTGGTTGGGAAGATGTAGGAGCACCAGACCACATATTCGATGAATCAGCAGGTTCGTCATCTTCACCCCAAGTTCCACCAATGTTTGTTGCTGGTGTATGACCCCAAGGTGTTTTAGCCTGCTGTTGAGGTGGAGGTTGACCACCGTTTCTCAAATTGGCTTCCCATAAATCAGTACCATTGTTTACTGGTGTCTTCCACATTGGAACTCCATCTTTTGACATACTAGGTTCTGGAGAAGTTGGGACATCCCAGTTTGTGTCTTGGTTCACATTCTGCTACATCAGAGAGAGAAAAACACAAAGTTAGCATGGTATAGTACACAAATATCAAACGCAAGTACATGAAATTGTCAAAAAAAGGAACAAATTTTTATAATCTATAAAGTATGCCAATTCAGAAAAAGATAAAAGTTAAACATTGAAACATAACTATATTGGTATGTAGATGAACTATAACTTTATTTAAAATGAAAAGAAAATATTTTAATAACGCGATTAAGTAATATAAATGTTTTAAATGATACATTTATGGGTACAGTAATAACTTATATAGTAGCAAAGATACTCACACAGCCCCAACCATCTTGACTAAAAAGTGCTTCCCTCACTGTATTCAACTGTTCTAATTGTTGTTTCGTTGAAGGATTATTGTTTGCAGGCGTATTACTACTGTTTACAGATCCCTGAACCTGATTATTTGATTGATTGTTATTGTTATTGGAGTTTGACTGCTGTTGTTGCTGCTGCTGCTGCTGTTGTTGTTGGGCTGAAGTATTATTATTTTGAACAGAAGAATTTTGACTCGGTCCCCCAGGATTATTAGATTTTCCCTGTGACCACTGATTACTGCTTTGACCACCCTGACTTGTTCCACTTGATTGAGAAGTTGGTGGACCTGACTGTTGATTTGATTGCTGATTTGGATTGTTTACCTTATTCACATTACCTGAAAAATAATTACCCAACCAAACATGTATAAATAGATATATTAATACAAATTTTATACTCCGTCATGAAGCTTATTTCCTGTGTTCAATAATAAAGCATAAAATAAAAACGTGTATTTACTGCATTTTTTATATATAATTCTTAGAAATAAGCTATTTTCCAATGCCTTGTTTTTGGTGTGTTCATACATGAACAGAATGAAAGAAGTAAAGAGAAAATGTATTATGATCTTTTTATATTTAAAAATTTAGATTGTTAGTTCAGATATAATTTTGATTTTATAGCATCGAGGATAAAATTATTATTAGTAATACAATTGAAAATATTTTATACTGAATATTACAAGTGAAAAGATAGAAAAAGTACTATAACTGTTAATTATTATATAAAGTTACTATAATTAAGAATTATTTATAAAATCATGTAAGCATTAGTTATAACTTTAATGTTATTTAATATGAAAAATATAAATGCCCACCTGGAATATTTTGTCCACCAAGAGGTCCTTGATTTTGATTCGAATTTGGATTCCCAGCAACAGACCTGTTCACACTATTTCCAGTCCAATTGCCAGGTGCTCCGCTATTTCCAGAAGGATTTCCAGAATTTCCACCCCAACCCGATTGATTGTTATTGTTATTATTTGTAGTACTAGTTTGCGTAGAGCCCCAATTTGTAGATCCACCGCTATTCAATGAACTTTCACCACCGCCAGCCAATCTTAGAATGCCAGGAATCCCCCATCTTTTCTTATACCCCAAATTGAACTCATCAAGATCGCAAAGCGGTCCGAAAAGAAGCGTTAATACGCGCTTAAGATTAGCTCTATGAACTTGTAAGATGTCTTTGGAAACTCCAACGGACGCTGCCATGAGATTCCTTGCACAATCAATAAGATGAGTTCTATTCATATTATTTGCGTTGTTGATTTCCTCTTTCTCTGAGAGACTAGAACTTGGACATTTTCTACGGAAATTTTCTTCCGACGGTGCAGAAACAGTAGAATTTCCATTAGAGTGTCGTTTATCCTTTGATCGAAGAGTTTTAGATTTTTTTAATTGATTGCAATTACATAAGTTTACTACAATGGCATCTGTCTTCATTGCATTAGAAGCCTCGCTGTCCATAAACTGGACAGTTTGAAACGTCGAACTGGTTAGAGTGAATTGCTTAGGATTTATCAGACTTTCTGTGAATACGTTCTCAACATTAAATCCGATATCTTGGTGTACTTTGTATAACATCTCATTAAATTGATACAAATCACAGAGATTTCTTGAAGAAATTTTTCCATTCATTACACCAGTAAAAGCTTGATACTTCAGCTTCGTTCGTTTAAGTAAACTAGAGCACGATGCCTTAATAGAAACATTTCCTTCTATTGACTCGTGCAAATTTTGGCAATAATAGTTTCTCTCAAAACCGCAAATACAAAATACTCTCGTTCGAGTATTATAACGCTCGTCATTGAAATAGACAGCAGTTTGAGATTTGATCCTTTCCAGTTCATTATTGTTAATATTTTCACCAATGTTTCGGCATGTAATTTGTTCGTTAAAAGAACCGAAACATTTCGAAGAACTCTCTTTGTCTTCTCCTTCTGGAAGAGAATCATTGTGATATTCCATTAAACAGTTTGGTAAACTGTCATAAAATTTGTGAGGAGTGTGCATTTGGTCGGGCCATAATATCTCGAAGTAGTTCGGCCGAGATCCAGGTACACCGATTATTCGGGATGCAGATTGGCGTGTAAGCGTCATCGTAGGCTTGCAGGTAGTCATAGTAGGAATGTAGAGAGCGAACTCGTCTTGGTTCTCCCCCTTAACCCTAAACCTATCCCCTATAGTAGACTTAGAAAGAGACTTAACAAACTCAGGGCCAAGACGCGTATACGACCCTGAGTACCTATAGCTCGCGAAATAAGTGCCCGAAGGCTCGTTAGACTTAACATTATCCTGAAATGAAAGAGCACCAACAGTAATTGTTGCCACGTTACTAATACCATTAATTACCCAGGACAACATCTCCACCGTCTTTTCCTTTAAGTTCAAAATTAATATTTTTAAGGTTCTTATTAATAACCAAGCGTTTAGATGTTTTTTCTTCAGAAGTTCTGAATACAATCTTCTAAAGATTTTTAACAGGAACACATAGTTCATATTTTGCGTAAGACTTCTCATAGAGGTAAAAATTTCACTGTTCAACTTTCTTAAAACCATTGAGTGTAACAATGTCTTGAAATTTTGCTTTTCCGAAGCTGAAATCTTATAATGTATTTCCCTAAACGTTTTAAAGTGGTTACCCTTCTTTAAAATCATGTTTTTACAATTTATCGTTGTTGCTGTTGTTGTTGATGATGATAACAATGATACTGTTGACGAATTCTTCGGAAAAGTTATTATTTTATTAGAAATGAAAATTTTATGACTCGCCTTTCCGGAATCATCGAAAAGGCTCGTATTCTTTGAATTTCTCTTCTTCAGTATCATAAAATCATCTACCTTACAGGTCAATATCGTCTCATTTGCTTCCGCAAAAATACTTAAGGACTGGACATTGAGATGTGTCCCTTTGTAGCTAGTCTCGTGGCTCGGTATTCCCTTCCACGTAATACTAAAATCGCAAATCACCTTACAGCTAAGTTTAACCACATAAAGCTTATGATCTAACGAGAGTGGAACACATGCGCGTTGCGTCAGCTCGCTCGCGACCAGGTCGAGCCACGGAGGAGAGGATTGTGCGCGTTTCGGCGCGTTACTCAATGGGAGAGGTCGCGGAGGCTGGTCGGTTAGCTCGTTTCCGGGAACGATAAGCGTAATGGAAGAACTGGTGGCCATGTTTTCTCCTTTCTTAATCGAACTTAATTCTTCATCCGACGACCTATCGTTTATTACATTTATCTTATTCAGCGTTACGAAATTTACAGACGGCTTTAATATTTTTGTATAATTTTCATCAATTTTCGTTAGATTAATATTATTGTTTATAAACAATATATCATCCGACATAACATTTTTCAATATTTCCTCTCGTTTCTCGTCGACTTCCATAAAAGAAGAATCTATTATGGACGAAGATTTGATGTTGATATTTGGAAAAAATTTGTTCAACAGAATGCATAGAGGTTTCATCGATATCTCAAACGAAACGGAGTTGCTTCCGAAACATTGTTTCAACTCTCTTGGGTCTTTTTTCATAAATTTCAATAGCTTCTCGATGATTCCCAAATAAAACAAATAACGAGATTCGTACTTCGAAAATAGGCATATCAATAAAAATTGTACAATTCTCAGATTAATCGTGGTTAAGAAAATATCCTCAAGTGTTAAATCACGCGACGCACACTTGGCATAAATTTTTACGCTTTTAGAATTAACTTTAAGAAAAAATAATTCAACCGAGTCTTGATTTTTAAATTGCAATTCATGCTTCGAACAGCTTATACCCTTTAAAACAAGTTTAATTATCGTTAAATGCGTCGAAAAGAATTTCACCAATGATTCTGCGAGTTCGAAATTAATTTGAGTCCAATAGCATTCATCTTGAAGTATGAAATAACTCGATAAAAATTTCTGTGAAATGTTTGGCATTTTAAAATTAAATTCAATCGGAGAATGTTTGGTTTCGATAATTAGATCATCGCTCGATAAAATCATTTTCGTAATTCTAAAGTATTCATCCTGCGATTCCGAAAAAAACCATCTTCGTAACGATAAACCGTCGAAAAAAGAGTTCGTTAAGAATCTGAATGGATTCAAACGGGTTCTTAGTCTCATTGCAATCGCACCACCGTCCATTTCAACGCGGAGGAAATAATGGTTACTGGTTGAGCTGAGCAATATCACAGACTTGTAGTTATCGTTATTATTACTTAGGAGGCTAGAATTAGACTTAATATTATTGTATTTGCCCGGATGAAGGCAGGATCCTAGTAAGGAGTAATTGTCAAGAGAGTCGAGAGAGAAGTGGCCTGACGAGGGGCGATCAGACTTGGGTATCCTAACTAGGCTAGGTACCCCTTCATCGATTGCGCACTTATCTCCTGTTAATCGTAGATTTACGCTTATACTTAGTACCCTAATGTTTAGTACGCTAAAGCTAGTCTTATTATCACTTAATGTCTTAGACATAGACTTAGAGTTATTGGCGGAGCTGCCCGGTTTGTGGTTGCCGGACGAGCCCGGTTGTTTTCTTTTTGTTGTTGTATTAACTGTTTTTTTTCGATCGTCTTGATGATTATGTTCCGCTCGATTTGAGCGATTATTTAGTTTAGGATTATTATTATTATTACTATTATTATTACTATTATTATTATTAATATTATTATTATTATTATTAGTATTATTATTATCGTAAGTTAGAAGATGATTTTTTGTTAGGTGTGTTGTGGTTGACGACGCCACTGACTGGCAGGTCGAGCTTCGACTGGTCAAGATAAACTTGCCTGAAACACGAAACAATATCATGAAAAATACAATCGATAAAACATTTTTTAATATTATTATAACATTCATATTCAAAACATTTCTCAAATACATCATCATGTAGTATTAACGATTTTTGTTACATTAAGAGGATACATCACAATAAACGCCCTGGAAGCATAAGCTTTGTTCAAGTGACAAATAAGTGAAATAAAGAACCTTCAAACCCTTTTTTGTATCTAAAACAGTGCAAGTTTAATAATACTTCTTTTTTAAATGTTTTAACATCTGAGTAATAACTAGTGACGAAACAATTCTATACAAAGGTATTACAATTATTATTATAACGTTTGAATAAAGAAAACTAATTTCTTCCAAAGAAGCTAAAAATTCAATTTCCTCTCAAAATCTTGAAAAAGATTAAAATTGAAAATAAAAAGGAATTAATTGTTCATCACACTATGGAATTGATATCTATGACATGTCTCTAGTAGATATAGGTTATGTACCGTTAATTTTTGCTGGTAAGGCTGCAAGCAAGTGACACTAATGGTCATCAAAGCAAAGTCGGAGGCAAAATATCGATAAGAGTACGGGCATATAAATTCGGATTCTAATAGCCTTATGAAAAGTTTCCAAAATTTCTCTTAGCGTGTTCCATATGAACGGCATTATTCACACTATTTTATAATATTTATATAATATTTATTTACATTTATAATATTTATATTATATCAACTATAAAATAGATTGAATAATGCAATTATACACATAGCAGTAGCCCGCACCTTATTACATCAAAACAATTTTAATTTCACGTCTACGTATCTATGAAAATTTGTTTCTAACGACAATTTAAAAATACTCAGCAAATATTTGCAACATCGTGAAACACATGCTTATACAGTTTCCGCTGTTACAGATTTTTGGATTCTTTTAAGTTTGTAAAATACCCTACCATGAAGCTCTCAACACGACTCGTGCTTGTCGAATTCTATCTACTCGTGCAGCTTGAAAAATGCTACGAGTAAGGAACTCCATTTTTTAATTGGACTACGTTGTTCAAAACAATGTAGTTTCTACCGTAACACAATGCAAACAACTGAAACTTATTTCGATTATATTTTTAACTATAATAAGAAATTTCTCGCAATATTAATATCTGTCTTTTTTTTTCAGTTTTTGCTAGCAGGATGCAATTCGTACCTTTTCTGTACTTCCTTTAGCCTTTGCATTAACCGCTTGAAGTTGCAGCGCATCCAATTTTCAGCATCGATTGATCACAGCGCTTATGAAAAATTCATAAATCAAAAACTTTTACTAATTACAATATCGTTATCAAAAATGCAAATACAACGAATATTACTAAACAAAACTTTTCAAAATAGATCACCAATAACTACTCTTATGTAATTGCTTAAAACTCTTTTTTTAAATCTTTCTTTCTATTTTTTAAAATCTTATGTAATTTTTTAAATCTTTCCGAATCAACAATTTTTTAATTATTCTATCTTTAATAAGAAAAAAGAAAATTCTCTTGTGAAATGCTCTCGAGAAAAACCCTTGAAATTATATCTTGCTACAAAACAAACGAGAAGTTAGATTCGAATTCGAATTCGAATTCGAAATGAAGCACACAGTTGCACGAAATTTTCAAATTTCTTTAAATAGCTAAAGAAGTACCTTTTTGTTGTAATGTTAAAAATATACTTTAAGAAACAGGAAAAAATTCGAATGTTTACATTTTAACTGTGATATATCCTCTTAAATGTATAGTCTGAAACAAAATTGGACACATAGCATAAATAAATTCAATTCGTTAGATTATAACACGTGAACGTGTTTTTTAATCACAGCAAAGAATATAATAAATTATTGTAAATCATTTATCTGCATATATAAAATACACATTACGTAACGCTGAAATACCAAAACTATGTGCATTTTTATATACATAGCTGTGTTAGAATCACACATTAAATAAGCAATAGTAAAAAATAATGAAAAATTTTTTATCCAATAAACATATGCTCAGTTTCACCTTTTTTTCCCTTTTTTTTTTTTTAAAAAAAGATAACCTCAAATATTGACAAATGATTTATCACACTCGAGCCATTTTTATGAACCTCTATATCGTTTCATTCTCATATCTCAGCTTTAACAATAGTTCATAATATTAAACATAATCTTATAAATCTAATAGAAAATTACTCATTCAGTGCTTCTCACTATTTCGTTTTTCTATTGATTTGAAATTCTGAAGTACATTATACAATGATCCATCTAAAATTAATTAAAGTAACATTTCTCTCTTTCAGTGCATTCGGAGAACAGAGAACACTACGAAATAAAACATATTATTGCTGTTACTAGTACATAATCTACAAGAACGTTTTCCACGAATGGAAGCTTTTATGCGACTCATTCTTAGATGTTATCGCTACAAGATAAAACAAGTTCAAAAAGAAAAAAATAAAGATAAACAGATTTGATACGACTTGCTTATTTTTCTAGTTCGCTCTTAACACGTTGCGTACGGGTGACGAGATATCTCGATTTCAGGTTTCTTCGACTCAATCGATGATTTAAAGAATTAAAAATAGATTTTCTTGTTACGTTACCAGGATAACGAAGTCTCGCGTTATTCTTATTTTAATATGTGAATATAATACCAAATGCGAATTAAAAAGGTGCATATATGCATCGTATTAAGTGTTTTTGGATCGCCCAAAAATGTGCCGGCCCTGAAAGCGCGTTGCGCGACCAGAGTGTCGTACGCAATATGTTAAGAGGGTATTCTTTGTAATCCAGCTTAAAAAAATCGATTTCTTTTTTTACATTTTTTCGAAGTATGTTTTCGAAAGTGTGTAAAAGGATTTATTTGAATTCGTAAAATTAGTAAATTCGTGAAGTTATAGATGTTTAAAGCGCAGCGTATAGCGCATTCAAACGCATTTTTCTCGAAACCATATTTTTTGAACCGGCTGACAGGATATCTCGCGTTTTAGTTGATCGAGTGAGTTGAAATTTGGAGATCTTCAAACCATGGATTTCAAAATCTGATGCTTCTTCTATTTTTGTTTACCACCCAAAGGACGAAAAGAAAAATCGATATTTAAATTTCAAATTTTTTTTTAATTTTCGAAATTTCTTTGTTTTGATGGTTCATGCTATAGACGTATTTATAATAATTAAGATGCTTTCGGTTTTTTCATTTCAGATAATCAGATAATCAGATGGTCCGGAATCATATCAGCCATTCGAACTTATGTTTTTAAAAACATAATTTACCCAAGGCTATATAATTCCCACAATTTTCAATAATTTCGTTAAAAAAAAATTGGAAATATTCTTTAAGTATAAATAAATTTGTGCATACCAAAACGTATTATGGTTTCTTTAGAAAAATGCCCCAAAGAAATCGATTTTTATTGGCCAGATTACAAGAATATCTCCTTAACACGTTGGCTGCCGCGCGAATTTTACGTGACTTGCCCAAGGCGCTAACATGAATTTTTCATTATGCGATGCATATTATGTTGAAATATTATTTACAGCACTTAAGTTTAGTTGTATAAACTTGTTTTATGCATTTTTCGTGGCATTAATTTCTTCAAAGCATTACAGAAACAATGGTATTATTTAGAAATTTATAAGTATCGATGTTTACCCTAATTATGTATTTTAACTATTGGTCGTGTCGCCGGTCACCGGTGGCTCCCACGGCGCTGTAGCCAAGTCGAGTGCCGGTCACCGGTGACTCCCACGGCAGCCAACGTGTTAAAGAAATTCTTCTTTAAATATAAATTATTATTAAAATATAACCCATTTTTAGAATATTCCGATTAAGACTACTTAAATTATCAAAATGGGACTATATACATCCATGTGTAAGCCAAAAATATCTTTCATGCAAGAATAGTTAATAATCGTTAAGAAATAGGCTGCAGTATATGTATTGATCAATATACATATAGTTATTTAAGACAATTCAATAAAGAAAAAAAAGACAGAAATATTATTAATATATATGATTGTGCACATACTAGATAAAGAATACAAAAATTTGTCAAAGAAATAACATGTTAATGAAATGGTTAATTTTTTGCTAAAATTTAATTTAAAAAGAAAGAGAAAGGAAAATAAAGACCTTAACATAAAAGAAAATTAAAGAAATTAAAGAAAATGTTGGATATGTACATAAATTAAATATCAAGCCAATTAGTTCTTGCAAAATCCTGTCGAAGAGTTAAGAAATATGGTGTCAAATAAACGTGGTAAATAAATATGGTCTTTAAGATTTCGATTAACAGCAATAATGTTATTGTTGTATCCATACATCTTACATAAATAACCTTTTTCTTTTTTTAGCTCAAAATACTCGATATACTGCAAATTGTATGAGTCTCTTTTATCTGATCAAACACCCGTTGTTTTCAGTGTCACAAATATTGCTTAAATTTATTATTCAATTTAAGATGCATAAAATTATATTAATTCCTTTATTGAATATGCAGTCTTTTATCCTATAGAACATAAATCCTTTATTCAATATTATTCATATTATATTCTATTTCCCTATGTCTACGAAACGTGTTTGTATATAAATTTCAGAAGTAAAACGTAAAACACTAACAAATGATTTCAAACGATTCAAACGAACAGTTTGAGAGCATATTTCTAAAATCCTAATCGGAAGATCGATCTTTCCAGATATTTTACATCCACTAGCAAAAATTTCCAGTTGCATAGACTTTTTACATTATACAGGGCAATTCGAGTGATTCTGCTTACTAATGGACTCAAAAGACAGTACTGCTTAAGCAAAACACCTTAACCCTCGAAATTTTGCAGCTCACACATAGACCCACGCAAATGTAGTCGCAGCAGACATTCGTCAGATTATCTTATGTATAAGGACACAGGGCTCCTGCCACGATATTTTAGCTAATGAGCCCTGTGTGACCCAATCATTTGAAAATGATATTACAAAGTTATGACTAATATTGGGTATAAGCACGTGACAATTAAAGGAAAACGATATAATAAGTGCTGTTTACTTACCTAAAAAATTGCTAAATTAATATCTAACGTCAACGTTCCCAGATTTTACAATATGATACATTAAATCACTTCATGTTATGAATTATTATTTATATTTTGTGAATAAGTTGAAACATAATATCAAGGCATATACTCAACTAAATGCAAAATACAATTTGAAACGATTCCATTCTTCTTCCAAATAATTTCATCTGATTTGAATTTTTAAATTTGTTTACTTAACATCTTCATAAAGGAAGAGGAAATAATCAACTGCAAATTGAAAAGCTGTACTGACCAGTTTGAAATTGTTATATTTTTAGAATACAACCACTATACATAGACAATTTAATTTCAAAATGAGTCCCGGATCATTGTCTTATTGAATCATCCATGCTATTTCTTTGCTATCGAAGCAGTCCTTTGAGAGTTGAAAATTCATCAAATATTTTGCCACGTGACTTTGGTACTATATATGTTATTGCATATGTTTAATATATAAATTACTCTCCTCCACGTCTCAAGATAACTGTGAAGACTCAGTCAGACAGACTCATCCAGCTGCAGTTCTTTATTCTTATTAATCAATTTAACATTGCTGGGAAATCATTGATAATCTTAGTTTTACAATTTTGTAGGTATATATGAAATAATAAACAGCGCTTATTTGTTTCCTTTTACTTACACTGCCAATTATTAGTCAAAATTCTTTTCAATACCATTATTGGAATATGATTGGAGAAATCCATTTAGCCAGAAATTTGTGCACACCGCTGTGGGTAAACCTCATAGAACAAAAGATAATAATGAAGGGAAAGTGCTTTTGTTACTTGTGTATGGAACAAAGTATCGACTAGTGTTCCTGTATTAGAATCAAGAAAAAGAATCTTGATTATATCCGCAACCTCGCTTCAATTTTGGTCATACTTTCATCCGCTGAAAAAATTCAGGTAAAGAGTTTAGAATTTGATATTGTTACAAATTTAGTACAGTCAAGTCTCCTACAACGCGGTTTCCTTATAACACGTTTTTCGTACAAGAACATTCCAATAACTTGACAAATTTATGGCAGCATTTATTCGATGTGTTAAATTAATAAAACAATGTAATTGTGGTATCTTCAATGTACGAACCACGTGATAAGAATGTCGGAATTAGGAGTGTTTGAGAATAAAACATTTGTTTTAGAAATAAGTATAAATAAGAAGAAATATGGAATAACTTTGATGGATAAGAGAACTTATGATTTTAACACTTTACCGACCGCTAGCGATTCAACAGCACAAGCACATCCGACCGGCCGCTCAGCCGCAGATTCTCCTTGGCGCCCCCCATACAAAAATGGGGAGCTTACAAAGTAACGCGACTGATACAACTGAGCAACGTACCTCAATACTAAATAACAAATTACTGTTCATATAATGATAATGACTGTTCATCGCCATGACAACCGATTAATAGGCTACATAGCTCGATAAGCGTCGGTGAAAAAAGCCGATTAATAGGCTATCGGTCGGTAGGTGTCGGCGACAAAAAGTCGAATAATAGGTTACCAGTCGGTAAAGTGTTAAAATAGTCAGTAGTCAGTCGAGAGCTAGAGTTAGAGTTCCAGAGTTGTGAGTTGTGTAGTCGAGAGTCAGAAGTTCGAGTAGTTTCAATTTGTAAGGGGGGTTTACTAATATTCAACAAGAACTCTAATACTCTTTCCTAAAAACTGTCTCTCATTAACTCCTCTCAAAGCACTGTCTAGAAACTGTCTCGGAACTGTCTCATACGCTTGCACCCTTACTTAAAGTCAAAACTGTAAGGGGGTTTTACTAAGCGAGGGCTAGGTCACAAGTCTAACTCTCGGTGGCCGATTCGATATTCTTATTTTCGCTATGAGGTAGTCATAGTTTCGTCTCTCACGTAAACTGTCTCTCAAAGAACTGTCTCAGCACTGTCTAAGAACTGTCCCGGAACTGTCCCCGTACGCTTCTCGACCTACACTTTCAAGAATGGGCCTCCTTTGTTCATTGATCGCGGATCAAGCGGATCGCCGCTTCGATTTGAAACTCCGGTTATCATTGCTACGTGTCATTGCTCCTCACCACGTCACCTTATCGGTAACCGGAGCTCGCCTAATCTCATATATTCTTACAAGTTATAGTCAGAATAAAGTCTAGTCAGAGATTTGCTAGTAACGATTTCGCCTCGAGTATTTCAATTAAACCACCCTCGACCGTGACCATCTTTTACGTATGTACATTGCAAATGACGAATCATGTTGCCAGTAATATATTGAAATACCGATTCAAAAATAACCCTTCTTGTTTACATATATCTCGTACATCCGACTTTTTAGTTAAAGAAGAGTAGGGGGGTTCGAAGATTTTCTGCTATAAAGCTGATGATGTTTTTTTAAGCAGTAAATAAGAAATAGTATAATAATTGACACGTAAAATTATTTGATTTCGATACCTCGCACATCGTTACATTATCTTAAATTTGACATATTAATTACTATCGATCTTCGAAATTTTATTAAATGACGACTGAAGGGCGTCTCTCGAGTGTAAAGAGTTAATATATTGAATAAGTTAAAACCATTCGAAATATTTTCATGTAATAATGTTATTGTAATATTTCCTGAATGTTTCCTGAATATTTCTCTTGAACGTATTCAAAAACAGCCATTCTTGGCTTTACATTCGAATAATCTCAAACATTTTAGATAAAATACAAGTATACTTAATTCTTTTCAACATTATATAAAGCAAATCACGTAATTGTGATAGATTATAATTTTTAATCAGTGAAATATAGAAAGATTAACACAAAAGAAAATTAAATGATATAAAGAAATCTATTATCTTATGTTTTCACTGTTTCCAAAAATGCAATTGCATTAAAAGATATACTTTTTTAATCCAACCATTCTGTATGTAAATTGTATTACATATTATATATTGAATCGTATATTTCAATTATAAAATATATTTCAAGTATAATATACAATTAATATTTCTATATACGGAACAAGCAGAGCTCTGGTTAGACACAAAAAAAAAGAAAAAATTATTACCGTTATACGGCGTATTTCTTTCAATCTAATAAACATAAGAATATCTCGTATGCCGTTGAAAAGAAATGGTTACTATGACAATAAGTACAGGAAGATACACTGTGTAGAGTAAATAACTTTTTGTATATATATATTGAAGAGAATTAAAAGAAAGAGTTCAAAGTCAACCTATTTTTTTAAACTGTACATTATATACCTTATTTATCGTATTCGTAACTCGACAATATATATTAAAATGAGGTTAGGTGTGTTACATATGTGTACTCATTGCTGTTGGAAGATATAACAGATTTCGAATTAATGAAATCCCAAGCACTAAGCCAATGCGACTTATAAGTTACCGATTAGTTATTCAAGTCCACTACACATTTGCAATGTCATCTAGTCCTACGATTCACGTTGATCTTAATTCTTAGGATTTCATTAGTTCAAGATCTACTACTACACATGGAATTAATTAACTTATATGACACACCATTGAAATTGTCACAAATAAACAAAGTCACATTATGAATAAAAATATATCGATATTCTATTGGAAAAAATTAAGTTAGCCTTAAAATCTTCCCATATTGTATATCCAAAAAAATTATTTTTGTCACACAATGTCCCTATTTATATCAAACTATTTTCATAATAATAATTTTTCGTATGTAGCTTCAACCGTCTATAAGATATTTTTGCGTTTTTAATTAAAAAATGTATATACCACTGGATTACGAAAAGTGCAACAGTTACAACCGATCTCATTTGCGCAACCCATCCTATACAAAGTTCAATAGACGAATTGGGAATACATATATGGTAGTCTACAAAACGGTCAACCGTTTGAATTCGCAACAGTCGGTAACAGTTTCATACGTACAGGCTAATACACTGACATAGAAGAACATAATGAATTTAGACGAACGGTTAAAATAACCGTTACCTAGTTTCATACTGCTTGTACATTTGTCTTTTACTAAAACTTCTACTAAATCTTATGTACATAAAATATAATAAAATATTAGAACAAATTTTGAATATAATAAATATACTTTCATCAAATATATATATTCATATTCATATACTGTTATCCTGTCTCATTTTAAAAGATTACGGAGTGTGATAACTTATAATGTTCTACATAGAGTAACACTATATGTATATACATCACACTGCTATGTTATTTCATTTCTAAATTTTTTTTATAATTTTTTAAATTTATTAATCCAGTATAAATCAAGAGATATTATAAATATTGTGATTAATTGAATTTTTGTTTTTTGTTCTTTCAATGTGGGCTGAATGATTTTTATTATTTCTTATAATCAGGTTCATATTATTATAATTAATAAAAACCTAAAGCATACAACAATAATATTACTGTATGAAAGTCAACATTCATTACCATTCATTACCATTAAAATAATAAATAAAGCTTTGATGTATTAATGTATCACTAGTGAAATTGGACAACACAGTTTTGACTAACCAGTACGTTATACGCAAAATAATATTTGATATACCAATACATAATTCGTTGTAAACAGAATAAAACTATTTCTAATATTTTAATGGAAAATATTTCACATAAAACTTCATTGTTATAAAATAGTAAAATATTGCTACAAGAAAAACTTTTTGCAAATTTCCTTCTCAGAAATCAAGGTCATTTTATACTTTTTGAATGGTACCATACATTTTTTATTAACAGCTTTAGAATACATTTAATAAACAAATGCAGTAACATAAATTATAGGATATCAATTCGTCATTTATATAATTAATTTCATAATATATTTGCTGCATAAAACAATGACTTTTACATTTAGAGTTAAAAAAATTGTCAGAATGTAGCACAACAGGATTTATAATTACAAAAACAAAAAAATTTCTAAGAGAAAACTATCTACGAGAAAAAAATTATTGATACTACAAATTTATTCTGCAAAAAGTTAATAAAAAATTAAAAGTTAATATTATTTACTAGTAAAAAATACAATTTTTTAATTTAAGTTCAACAATTTAAATGCAATATTTGAAACCCTCTACAGAGAAAATATTGCTCCTACGGGATAATAAACGTTATATTTTGTTAATTATCTTGTAAAAAATACTAGCTAATTGAAATTAATTTAGAAGCAAATTCAAAATTGTATTATATTAATGGCATTACAATTTATAGGCATACATATTACAAGTATATAAAATTAATTTGAAAGTGAAAATATATCTGTTTTATATTGGCCTAATGTAAATATAATTCACAATATTTAAAAAAATAATGAAGTTAATATATTTTACTAATAATATGTATATGTATATTGTATAATGCTTATCTTTTTAATCATATTATGTTTGATATGCATCAAAAATTTCTTTTATTAGCAACAGCCATAAATATAGAACTATGTAAACATAAAACAAATACAAATGTGAAAAGATATAAAATGAAAAAAAAAAGTAATCAAATATATTAAAACTCTTTGCATTCGAAGATTTTTCGCTATAAAGACACAATATAACAATTCCAAGCTTTTCTTATATTTTTCTAAGGTTGACGATGTTATTTATTCTAAAATAGAAAAAGAAAATCTCGTGTATTCCACTTCAATATTTCACATGTACTTCGAATCTAGTTATTGCCGCATATTCATTACTTAAGTTTTAAGGTTTTAAAACGAACGATGACCGAGAGTCACTACTCGAGTACAAAGGGTTAAAAAATTCATATTTTATGGGACAATTGTTATAAATTTATAAAAATATAATATAACTGATATAAAAGATATTGAAGTTAATAAGAACTTCTTTTCTAATTTTATAAAGATTAACAACAGTTCTCATTCACAAGCAAAAGTAATAGATTTATATGTCTTAATACCAGGTTGTGATGAGGAAAAAAGAATTTATCCCGAATAAATAATAACTAAATAACTAAACAAAATCCTAAAAATTATTTGCTACTCTAATATCTTTAATAGTATTCCTATTTAATTAGTAAGAAATAGTCAACATTCAATTAACATAATTAAATTTTTATAAATATTCTGTATATGTAAAAAATGATAAGTGAATGAGGAAACTGTAAACTGAAACTAAAGGAAACTGAAATTTTTCTACACAACTGTAAGTTCCAACTTCCAATGCTTGTGTTTCTTGTCTCTATTTTGCAATAAATATGGATTTAAGTTCTTATTTATAATTAAAAGACATATGACTAAAAATTGCAGATTACTTGAGCGTATATATATATATATATATATAGTGTGTCCAAAAAGGTTGAGATCAAACTTGGACTATACGTTATTGAGATCAAATTGATGAAAAAAGTTCATATAAATTTATGTCTGAAAATGGTTTATTAAGAAGATATGAGATAAAGATATTAATGATTTTTTGTGAAACTTTTAAGAAATGTTCGAAAATTCAAAAAAAGAAAAAAGAGAAAAAAAATTCCTTATTGAGAATGTGTACTATGTATACGATTCTCTACAATGAATTGTAAGACGAATTTTGTCCATAAATTTTGTCCGTTTACATAAATTTTCTTCATTTATTTTACCTCAGTAACACATAGTTTCAGTTTGGTTCCAACCTTTTTGGACAACCCGTATATATGTACTTCCTTTATCATTTAATCATGTAGAAAAAATTCTGCAAAAATCTCACATTTTTATCAAAACTTTGTATTAAGATAAAGATACATAGCAATTACAAATAGTGATTTTACAAGCACAGAAAAGTTTGAACCATACCGTATTACTATGATTACATGATATTACATGATAATAAAATGTAGTTACTTAATTATCATTATTGTTATTTTTTTTTCTAATTTTATGATTCTGTCCACCATGTATAATTTTTTCTTAATTATAAATCATTGTATCATTTATTTACTTAAGATGTCTTAAACCTTAACTCTAAATAAAATTTTGTATTTTATAACAATCCTATTTGTTATAAACATAATATCAAAACTTCTCTAATATCTGACTTTATCTGCTAAAAAATTACAATCATTAAACAATAAATTTGTACATGTTATATATGCAGTTTGCATTTCTTACATGTATTGTTAAACCATAATCTATGAATTCTATGTCATAAATCATAATTTACGGGTATAAGATCAAATAACCAAAATACATTATATCATATCATCAAAATCATCATCTCATGTACTATTAGAATAATGAAAGCAAAATATATGTATGTTCCTATTTAAGAAATTACACAGTAACTTCAATTACTCATTAAATAACAATACTTTAACAATATTTTGTTGGGGCAATATATTCTCCATCTGATATTAATAAGTGTTTATTTGAAGTTCATTTTGATTATGTTATTGGAAGTAGATCAAATATTATGATAATTATATTGTAGGCTAAGATAGGCATTTTTAGTGCACAAAAAGTAACTTATAAAATTCACTACAAGGTTACATCTGTTTAATATATAAGTTAATGTATATAAAATAAAACAATTCTGTAAGAAATTTTTCTGATGCACTGTTTTATTACAAACATATGTTAATTAATTAACATTATAAAGAGCATGTGTATAAGAACATGGATCATAACAAACAAAGAGAAAAAAGAAATAATGTATAAAAATGAAGTAGTAAAGTATACTAAGAAAAATATCATACAATCAAGCCTGCAAAATTATGGACTAAATAACAAAAAATGAAAAATATGGAAATCATACTACTGAATTTATAAAATTAAGAATGTTACAGATGCCACAGAGCATATGGTATATTTTTATTTTGCTAGTTCGACTATTTTGTTTCATTCTAGAAATTAAGAAATCATTTCTTATATGGCATAGTATATGTATATGTATGTTTATGTATGTATATGTATGTGTATGTTTATGTATGTATATGTATGTGTATGTTTATGTATGTATATGTATATGTATGTATATGTATGTATATGTGTGTGTGTGTGTGTGTGTGTGTGTGTGTGTGTGTGTGTGTGTGTGTGTAACGTTCATA